ACAGAAAATGAGAGCCATCAAAGCCACCGGTGAAATTGGCAATGAAGGTAAGGAGGGGCTGCCTATTATCACCGCCCAAATACAGGTGGCGCTGGAGAGCCGTCTCCCACGGCCCCCCCCTCCAGGGGATAATTGTCCCAGGGGAGCCTAGCCCCCCTTTAGGGGATAATTGTCCCAGGGGAGGTAGGGGAAGGGGGGGGGAGGGCAGTTGAGACGGGCTGTTGGCCTGGTAAATATCAGTCAATTTTACAGCCGGGCTGCGCTTACCACCTCCACCCGCCCAGGTAATGAGTGGTGCACGGGTGGGTAATGAGGGGTGCACGGGTGGGTAATGAGGGATGCACGGGTGGGTAATGAGGGGGTACACGGGTGGGTAATGAGGGGGTGCACGGGTGGGTAATGAGGGGCTGCACGGGTGGGTAATGAGGGGGTGCACGGGTGGGTAATGAGGGGGTGCACGGGTGGGTAATGAGGGCTGCACGGGTGGGTAATGAGGGCTGCACGGGTGGGTAATGAGGGGGTGCACGGGTGGGTAATGAGGGGATGCACGGGTGGGTAATGAGTGGTGCACGGGTGGGTAATGAGGGGTGCACGGGTGGGTAATGAGGGGTGCACGGGTGGGTAATGAGGGGTGCACGGGTGGGTAATGGGGGGGTGCACGGGTGGGTAATGAGGGGTGCACGGGTGGGTAATGAGGGGCTGCACGGGTGGGTAATGAGGGGCTGCACGGGTGGGTAATGAGGGGCTGCACGGGTGGGTAATGAGGGGTGCACGGGTAGGTAATGAGGGGTGCACGGGTGGGTAATGATGGGGTGCACGGGTGGGTAATGAGGGGCTGCACGGGTGGGTAATGAGGGGTGCACGGGTAGGTAATGAGGGGTGCACGGGTGGGTAATGAGGGGGTGCACGGGTGGGTAATGAGGGGGTGCACGGGTGGGTAATGATGGTGCACGGGTGGGTAATGAGGGGGGTGCACGGGTGGGTAATGAGGGGTGCACGAGTGGGTAATGAGGGGGTGCACGGGTGGGTAATGAGGGGGCTGCACAGGTGGGTAATGAGGGGGCTGCACAGGTGGGCAATGAGGGGGCTGCACAGGTGGGCAATGAGGGGGCTGCACAGGTGGGCAATGAGGGGGCTGCACGCGTGGGTAATGAGGGGGCTGCACGGGTGGGTAATGAGGGGGCTGCACGGGTGGGTAATGAGGGGGTGCACGGGTGGGTAATGAGGGGGCTGCATGGGTGGGTAATGAGGTGGTGCACGGGTGGGTAATGAGGGGGTGCACGGGTGGGTAATGAGGGGGCACGGGTGGGTAATGAGGGGGCTGCACAGGTGGGTAATGAGGGGGCTGCACGGGTGGGTAATGAGGGGGCTGCATGGGTGGGTAATGAGTGGTCTGCACGGGTGGGTAATGAGGGGGGTGCACGGGTGGGTAATGAGGGCTGCACGGGTGGGTAATGAGGGCTGCACGGGTGGGTAATGAGGGGGTGCACGAGTGGGTAATGAGTGGTGCACGGGTGGGTAATGAGGGGGGTGCAAGGGTGGGTAATGAGGGGTGCACGGGTGGGTAATGAGGGGGCTGCACGGGTGGGTAATGAGGGGGCTGCACGGGTGGGTAATGAGGGGGCTGCACGGGTGGGTAATGAGGGGGCTGCACGGGTGGGTAATGAGTGGTGCACGGGTGGGTAATGAGGGGGGTGCACGGGTGGGTAATGAGGGGGCTGCACGGGTGGGTAATGAGGGGGCTGCACGGGTGGGTAATGAGGGGGCTGCACGGGTGGGTAATGAGTGGTGCACGGGTGGGTAATGAGGGGGGTGCACGGGTGGGTAATGAGGGGGGTGCACGGGTGGGTAATGAGGGCTGCACGGGTGGGTAATGAAGGGATGCACGGGTGGGTAATGAGTGGTGCACGGGTGGGTAATGAGGGGGGTGCACGGGTGGGTAATGAGGGGGGTCCACGGGTGGGTAATGAGGGGGGTGCACGGGTGGGTAATGAAGGGTCGCCGGCTCCTTCCTCGTCCACTTCCAGATAATTAAAACGTCCGCTAATCACTCACCTGACAGCCAGATGCCACTTAATCACCCAGTTAATGATGGCCCAAGAGCTAATCATCCAGTTGGTGATGACGCCAAAGCTCGTCATCCAGGTGATGGTGACAAAAGAGCTACCCATCAAAACTGATGGCAACAAGCTGGCCTAATGACCCAATTGGGTGGTTATACACTACGTAACTGGCAAATTACCCTCAACATAGTTCACAGTCGTATAAATGGACAACTTAACCTTAAGACAACGTCAAACTCATGAGAGTAATCAACCCCCCACCCTACGATAACCAGTGATAGCGCTCAGCCATTATGGCTATATAGCCTTTGGAAGACATACGAGAGAGGAAGGATTTCGGTGGAGACGGAGGCAAGGAATGGTGGTCCACCACTTAGACCCTTGGGGATTGAACGCCGACCAGCAACTTGCGAATTTGCTGCTCTACCTTCCAGTTGAAAAATATAATAAAAATAGAATAATCCGTATATATATATATATATATATATATATATATATATATATATATATATATATATATATATATATATATATATATATATATATATATATATAATATGGATATTATGATTACATTTGTGAATATTTAAATTTAATTAAGTCACTATACAAATAGGAAATATATAGTTATTACCATATCTACCTTGTGGAGGTTCCGGGGATCAACGGCCCCCGGCGGCCCGGTCATAGGTTGTATTTAACTAACAAGTTACGAGAAACACGAACGATTAAGTTATGGAAATCCAACAACCGTTATTAATAAACGAAAATATCAGTTAAGTAAAGTTAAGCCATGGCGGAATAAGTGATAACGAGCGAGTTATGTTGTGTGAGCCGCGGGTGCCCACACTCAGCCAGGGAGCCGTGTAGTGTGAACCAGGTGGCGTGAGCTGCGAGTTGTCGCGTGGGAGCAACGGTGATGTTACCCCCCCCCCCTCCCCCACCTGGGGCGAGGGGGGGCCGCCTCCACCAACCACCCAGCGCAAATGGCCGCCTCCACCAACCACCCAGCACAAATGGCCGCCTCCAACAACCACCCAGCGCAAATGGCCGCCTCCATCAACCACCCAGCACAAATGGCCGCCTCCATCAACAACCCAGCACAAATGGCCGCCTCCATCAACCACCCAGCACAAATGGCCGCCTCCATCAACCACCCAGCGCAAATGGCCGCCTCCATCAACCACCCAGCACAAATGGCCGCCTCCATCAACCACCCAGCACAAATGGCCGCCTCCATCAACCACCCAGCACAAATGGCCGCCTCCATCAACCACCCAGCACAAATGGCCGCCTCCATCAACCACCCAGCACAAATGGCCGCCTCCATCAACCACCCAGCGCAAATGGCCGCTCTCTTCATAATTTAGGAAAAAATGTCAGCAGAGTCGGGCAGCAGGTATATTTTGTGCTGGCATATTTAGGGCTTATAACGAGTGCTTGTAAGATGAACAGCTAGACACGCTAACCCCACAACCCTTCCCCTCCCCTCCCCCACCTAATCATTCAACCCCCGCCCTCCCCCTAATCATTCGACCTCACCCCCACCTAATCATTCGACCCCCCCCCCGGGGGCCTTGTGATTGTTCACACGGCAGCTTCAGCGTATCATATTTTATATTATATTTTCCATGTAGTTTTTATGCCGTTAATATTAGCATTGCAAATACAATCCATCTTTTTCGCCGGTATTATTAATCTAAATACAAGATTTATACGGCCACAAAATTTTAGATCTATTTAGTATTTTAATAAATATTTTGGGGGTATTACATATAAGGAGAGTTTAATCCTGTCATAACTAAATACAAGCTGCTTGTACTGACACACCTGGACACACACATGTAGCTGCATGTACTGACACACCTGGACACACACATGTAGCTGCATGTACTGACACACCTGGACACACATATGTAAGCTTTCACGCCTTATAACGCGTATGTTTCAGCCCAGCAAACAACTCCAAAGCATATGTGACGTTGTTACAACTCCAATGAAAAAAGCGGTCAATGCGACACAGCCGGTAACCGAACGAGCCACATGGTAAACAACTGCTTTCGTCAGAGTACTGAAGAACTCGAACGTGCTCAAAATTGGCGATGGGATGACCGACTCTCATACCCACCTTCCACTGTAGATATCACAGATCCCGACAAGTTTTGGGAACCTGTACACCGGTTGATTGAAGGTCGGGAGACGGGGGCCAATGAGCTGAAACTCATTCCCAGTCGGTGTAACTAGGTTAGCAGACCGCGCGTGTGTGCGCGCGCTCGCCCACATAAACCCAAAACCCAATTACGTCCAAATAAACACTCTCTAAATAATCACCTGCGCCCTGATAATGAACCACCATTACCGGAGCGAAAAAAAAACACACACTATCAAAACTTTTAAAAAGTACACACAAAAAAATGGCCGAACAAATGTGTTATTTTCCAGATCGAATTTCGTCATTCCGACAACCATTAAAACCAATTAACAGTTACAAATAAAAAGCACAAAACTAATTTCAACTTGGCAATTGGCAAACTACTTCTGGATTTGCCGGAGAGGCTAATTCAGTGCCCAATTACTGGGGCGGTTGGAAGCCCTTGTTCCAGCGCGTCAAATTGCACTCCCTCCTACCTGGATTGAGGTCATATGCCACTCCCCCCCCCCCCATCACCTGGAGGTCATATACTACTATTAGTTTCGTGTTCAGCACAGGTAAAACCAACGACAAAATGCACATTGTAACTCTCGTTACTTGATGTAAGTGTAGAAGTATCTTACTGCACCACTACCCTCTCCAAGCTCTCCTTCCGTACCTCCTCACAAGTGATTGATGTGATAACACCTTGAGGAGGAGGAGGAGGAGGAGGAGGAGGAGGAGGAGGAGGAGGAGGAGAAGGAGGAGGAGGAGGAGGAGGAGGAAGACAATACCGGTATACTCACCCTGGGTGTTGGTGCTGTCCTCAGCATCGTAGAAGGCTTCCTCAGCATCAGAATCTAAGCTGCTTAGGCTGATGCTGCAATAAACGACAAGATGTGTCTTAGAAATTATCCAGTAACTGAGGAGGGGGGGAGGGGACGGACTTTCAGATAACACAAGTCTACACGAGCATAGCACGTTATCCAGAGACACATCTGCTATGTTAATTATCCAGTAAGAAGAAAGTCCTTGGTGTTATCCTGTGGAGGCAACAGTCAACATAACATAAATAAGACATGTTACAGATTACCTTATTACAAAAGTGACTATGAGATCACCCAGAATGAAATGTCTCAACTTTGAAGTGGTCAATTAGTCCTGCACATTATCCGACTTAAGATTTCTTCAAGAAATGCACCCCAAAATAATTACAGAGTTAGAGTATATTAATCAATGATAAGAACAGTCTCTCTCTCTCTCTCATCCTTTCCCTTCCCTCTTCCTCTCTTCAATTCTCTCCCTTCCTCCCTCCCTCTCTCTCTCCTCTTACCTCTCCCTTTCTTCAACTCCCCGTCCCTCTTTCTCTTTAAATCCCCGAGGGGCATCACAGCGCCCTGGGAGACCAATTAGGGACATCAGAACACAGCCAAGGACGTCCCCACCAGCTCTTGCCGAGAGACATCACCTCAAAATCAAATCTTAAATAAATTCCCAGTTGCAGTCTCTTGAGAAACTCTGCCAGATCAGTATCCTCATCAGTTACCCACACCTGCGGGTACCCACACCTGCGGGTACCCGCACCACACCCGAGGCTTACCCACACCACAGAGAGAACAGTCTAAGACTGAATGATTTAACAATAATAAGTCCTTGACGGATCATATGATGGATTATTCACTAACAACACTACCTAAGGAGTGTATTAGATCTTATACACCATTACATAAACAATACTGCAGGCCTTCCCATCACATCAAATGGCCTAAATATTGAGCTACTGATGGAAACTTTCAGTAGACTGCTGGGCTGACCTGTAGGGAAACAAAAGATATTAGCGGCACCACCACAGACCCATCAAGTTACATAACACTGTAAAACATGAAATATATATTACTGTACCTTCACCTGTACCCAGATTTCACAGGGGTCTCTGGATACAGAACACGTATGTTATGAGACAATTCTGACTCCAGTCCAGAATGACGTCAGTGTCTGGAGAGCTGCCCACCAGTTCTGACGTCAGGAGAGGTGCCCACCAGCTCTGACGTCAGGAGAGGTGCCCACCAGCTCTGACGTCAGGAGAGGTGCCCACCAGCTCTGACGTCAGGAGAGTTGCCCACCAGCTCTGACGTCAGGAGAGCTGCCTGCCAGCTCTGACGTCAGGAGAGCTGCCCATCAGCTCTGACGTCAGGGCAGCTGCCCGCCAGCTTTAACGTCAGGGCAGCTGCCCGCCAGCTCTGACGTCAGGACAGCTGCCCGCCAGCTCTGACGTCAGGACAGCTGCCCGCCAGCTCTGACGTCAGGACAGCTGCCCACCAGCTCTGACGTCAGGACAGCTGCCCACCAGCTCTGACGTCAGGACAGCTGCCCGCCAGCTCTGACGTCAGGACAGCTGCCCGCCAGCTCTGACGTCAGGACAGCTGCCCGCCAGCTCTGACGTCAGGACAGCTGCCCGCCAGCTCTGACGTCAGGACAGCTGCCCGCCAGCTCTGACGTCAGGACAGCTGCCCGCCAGCTCTGACGTCAGGACAGCTGCTCACAGCTCTGATACGTCTCGAACAGGCAGCAGCAGTAGCAGCAGCAGCAGCCATCCCTGGCAGCACCCTGACACCTCAACACCCACACACACGCCAACAAGTAACACATTACACCGTGGCAACACTAAATAAATCGAATCTACTGAGAACATCAACAAAAATGGCTTTGTCACGGTAAGCTTTGCGAGTGGCGTGTCCAGCAGCCAGGGGGGCCCGCCACAGGTGACCCTGGGGGCCCGCCACAGGTGACCCTGGGGGCCCGCCACAGGTGACCGGGGGCGCCCGCCACAGGTGACCGGGGGGCCAGCAACAGGTGACCGGGGGCGGCCGCCACAGGTGACCGGGGGGCCAGCAACAGGTGACCGGGGGCGCCCGCCACAGGTGACCGGGGGCGCCCGCCACAGGTGACCGGGGGGCCAGCAACAGGTGACCGGGGGCGGCCGCCACAGGTGACCGGGGGGCCAGCAACAGGTGACCGGGGGCGCCCGCCACAGGTGACCGGGGGGCCAGCAACAGGTGACCGGGGGCGGCCGCCACAGGTGACCGGGGGGCCAGCAACAGGTGACCGGGGGCGCCCGCCACAGGTGACCGGGGGCGCCCGCCACAGGTGACCGGGGGCGCCCGCCACAGGTGACCGGGGGGCCAGCAACAGGTGACCGGGGGCGGCCGCCACAGGTGACCGGGGGGCCAGCAACAGGTGACCGGGGGCGCCCGCCACAGGTGACCGGGGGGCCAGCAACAGGTGACCGGGGGCGCCCGCCACAGGTGACCGGGGGGCCAGCAACAGGTGACCGGGGGCGCCCGCCACCAGCAGCGGACATCATGCAAGAGGAACAACACCGAGAGGAGAAAAAATTACAACTACTTGAGCAGACGGGGTAAAGTGAGACATTTCCTGGTAGTGGTGGTTGCAGCGGTGGTGGTAGTTGTGGTAGCGAAGGGAGGGAGGGGGGGGGGAGGCGGAGAAAAACCAAAAAGAGATCTTCTTGGTGCATCGTGGGGAGGGGCTGGAAAGAGGGTGGGGGAGGGGGGGGGGAGAGAAGGCTGAGGGAGGGGGGGAAGGTGATTCCCTACACGAAAAAAAATTCAAGACAAGAGACTGCCGGGTCATCAGCCGTCTGTAGACACACACTGTGACGTGTACACACACATACACACACACACACATACACACACACACACGCACACATGTACACAACAGCACGTGTTTCACATGTTTCCTGGGGGAGGGGGTGGGGGGACCTAACTCAAGATGGCCGGTCCACGTCGCCCTTGAGGCCAAGATGGTTTCTGACAGTTTACAAGGAGCTAGAGGAGACATCGTCAACTTGTGGCGGGGGGGGGGGGGGGTTAAGGAGGAGGTTGGGAAGGCAGAGAAGCGCAGGTGAACTACCTGTCCCTCCCACATGCAGTCTCCACTAGCCAGCTACCCTATGTGGTGCAGGTGGTATGCAGGTGGTATAGTGTCGGGTGTGGTACACAGCTGGGGGTACGGGGTATAGATGGCGGGGGATCGAATATATGAAGGTCGCTACCACACCAAGCTGCCACTAGTGCACGGAGGGTGGGGGGGGGGGGAGGGAGGCACAGACTGTGCACAAGGTCTGCTTTACTTGAATGAGGCTAGTTAACACCCAGCTCATTCTGGGGGGGGGGGGGGAAGTAGGGGGGCATCAGCTACTTGCGAGTGTAGGGGAAGAGGGAGGGGAGGGGGGGGGAGGCGTGGCTGAAGGCAGGGGGAATAAGATGCATAAGAAAGTCAGCTGGTTAAAGGTAGCGGGTGAGAGGGGGGGGGGGAGATGGGGGGGGGGAGATGGGGGGGAGATGGGGGGATTGGGAGGGGGTAGTGGTAGGTGGGGGAGGGGGTGAGGGGGGGTGAGTGGTGGGGCATCATCACCTGCTGATGGCGGTGTGAGTTCTAGTTGTTGATGGCGGTAGAGATGCCACCGGCTGTTTATACCATGACCGTGGAGGGAGTGGTGGCTTTGATCGCAGTGGGAGCATTGGCTTTGGTAATGACGTGGTGAGCGGGAGTGAGGGTGCTGCTCGCGGTGGCTGGGGGGGGAGCCAAGGCGGAGATGACGGGAGATGAGGCGGTGAGGTAGGAGGCTGTTGGTGCTGGCACAGTGGCGGCAGATAGGCATGGTGCTGTGTTAGTGGCGCGGGGAGCGGCGGCGGCGGCGCGGGGAGTGGCGGCAGCCGCGGTGGCCGCGGGGGGTGGTGCGGCACCGTTGGCTTAGGCGGGAGGTGCAGTGGGGGCAACTGTGGTGGGGGTGGTTGTAGGGGTAGATGTGGGTGGTGGTGTGGCAGGGGTGGTGATGGTGATGGTGATGGTGGTGGTGATGGTGGTGGTGATGGTTCATCTTGTGGTGAGAGTGGTGGCAGCGTCGCCTGCATGTGTTGCTGAAGTTCCTGGTATACTCTGGTGGTAGTGGTATAAAGTTAGTGTTAGTGCACTCTCCCCACTCACACGCACACGCACGCACGCACGCACGCACGCACACACAACACACACACACAACACACACACACACACACACACACACTCATGCACGCATACATAAGCGCAGGAACGCACAGCATTATCACCACACACACACACTAACATAGTAACATCAGCGCCATATGCAAGACCAGCAAACATAAGGCTAGCTGGCCAAGGAATTCTTCAAAACATCACACACACACACACACACACACACACACACACACACACGCACACGCAGCTTATACGCAGCCCCGGCATGGTACCCGCACCTGACAAACCATACGAGGAAAGTGTGAACCAAGATTTCCAATAACACAGATGCCAGATACAAGAGACAAGACCTATGAGGCCCCCTCCCCCCTATGAGGTAAGTTAGCACAAATTAATATTTAAAGAAAGAGGAACTATAGCCGCTGTATGAATACAACATACACAACAGTAATACATACTAGGTAGTTATTTCCACCATTGTCTCTAGCACTAGATAATCTCTTATCTCCCATATACGTCATTCGTATGTATTGGGACTTCTTTGTATTACCATAGGACGCAGAATTAGGTCAAGTCAACGAATGAGAATCGCCAATATTCCCCTAGTGACGAATGTGACGTAACAGCAGGAACGAGGAATTTGATTGACATGATTGTCTCGTGAGAATCTAGCAGTTTGGAGTAAAAAAAAAAAAAAATGCGGAGTTTGAGCGACCGTCACTCGGACCCTGCCAATGAGTGCGTGTCTGACAGGTGAGGGAGCTCCTAGTTGCTCCTGTCTTATGGCTAAGTCACTATGTAGATTGGCACCGGAGTAGAGCTGCTCACCGTCCGCTCTCAAGTGCATAGATATGTCTCCCATGAGGAAGAGCAGCAGCAGCATATGCAGCAACAGGACAAGCAGCAGCATCAGGAGACGAACAGCAGCAGCATCAGGAGACGAACAGCAGCAGCAACAGGAGTAGCAAGCAGCAGCAACAGGAGGACGAGCAGGTGGTGGTTAAACAGGAACAGGATAATAATGATGAGCAGGGTAAGGAAAAACGGGAGTAGAGTAAGGAACAGTTAAAGTGATCATGAAGATATAGACGAGGTCTCAGGACCCCGAAGCCCTCCACGCGGTCAACACCCTCCACGGGGTCAACACCCTCCCCGCGGTCAACACCCTCCACATGCACTCGATAACAGGAAGAATGCAGTAACATGTCTTTCGCAACGGCTATATTAGTTCAGTCACCCGGCGATCATTCAGACCTGGAACCCTGCGCTGTGACCCGCTGATCACTCAGGCTTCCAGCCCAGAACTGTGACCGCATACATGGAGACGGGCTCGAACACTCGACTAAAGGTGCCCTGGGGTACAAGGATGGTACCCTGGGGTACACGGACGGTGCCCTGGGGTACACGGACGGTGCCCTGGGGTACACGGACGGTGCACGCTTGACGTGACTTTTGGCGCCGTTCGCCAAACAGGGGAAAAAAAAAGAAATAATTAATGACCCTACAACATGACCTTTAAAACAAAAAGAAACAACTATACTGAACACGAAAAATGTGTCGGTAAACTAACAAAATAGTATTTATCCGGGTACAACAGGGGAAAAAAAAGATGATTACACAAAAGCATCAAACACAATCAACATCAAACAAAAACTAGTTTATGTTAGCCTTCCAAGTGAAATTATTACCCCCCCCCTCCACAATCCCCTATACACACCTGGATTGTACCTGAATGGGGCTCTGGGAGTTGTTCTACTCCCTCCATAAGCCCGGCCCGAGAGGCCAGGCTTGACTTGTCAGAGCTTGGTCCAACAGGCTGTTGCTTGGAGCGGCCCGCAGGCCTTTATAATCACACACCTTACAGCACCCGCCCGCCCTCCCGAGTTGTCACAGCGTCACAAAAATGCTGTACTAACTTATCCGAACCTAACCTAACATAACCAAGAGATTCACGAATAGAAAACGCAACAGCCCGCCAATTTTGCCGAGCCGCTGTGACCTAGAGAGCGTCACATTTTGACGTTGAGGGTTTTAAACGTCAAAATACGATGTATTATTATAGAGGACGGGTCACACCTTCACATCATGGAACTCACCGCTCACCTAATATAATAATATTATTAGAGAATTAAGTAGATAAGCGGCGGAAGTAGACAGTAGATGGAGCCAGCGGGAAGGTGGGTTGGAGGGACATTTGAAGACTTCCAAGAGGCCTTCGACACGGTGGCCACATTGGTCACTGGTCTAGAGACTAGAGCAGCAGCGGATGTGTAGGGCAGGTCACTCCGGGGGATAGAGGAGACCTTGAGACACAGAGGACAGAGTGACTGAGGAAGATGTCGGAAAGGAGAGAACACTATAAGAGTTCCCGGTGATAACTCCTTCAACCTATAGGCCTACTTTTCAACCAATGATCACTCCTTGGGTCTATAGGACTACTGTGTTACGTACATGCTAGAAGAACACAGGGATTAAAGACATTTTCAGAACAAATCCACAAGGGCCGTGACGAGGATTCGAACCTGCGAACGAACGAGGATTTTCAGAACGCCTACTGGCCCAAATGAGGCAGCTGTCTACATCCAGCAAGGAGACAGCACACTTGAAACTGACATCCTTCAGCTTATTTATATATACCACACACGTGAGGTCAATATGTTGCCATGACGACGCCTAACGCGAGGCACATATAGGATACGACGCGCGCACAAATACAACATAGTTCAAAGCAGGCGTGAGAAGGTAAGACGGGGCTGAGGAGCTAGCACTCGACTCTGCAGGCACATTTAGGTGAGTCCACGAAGAAGAGCAATATCCCGAGTAAACAGAATACAGCGCTATTTAGCAGAGCTGTTTCTAATTATGGCCCCCTAATTGTTAGGGTAATGAGGCAATGACAGCAGTTTACGGGTAGTTAAGGCGGGGTGTCAGCAGCACGTCAGGGACGTGGTCTCAAGAACCATCGGCAGAATGGAGAGAAGAAGAAGAAGAATCCAGGGATAAACTCAGAAATAAGACTTGAATGGTTCCCAAGTTATATATATCAGAAAACTCATCCTCGTGAAGGGTTCGAACCCCGACAGCTAGGCGCTCCATACACCTTCGCATATAAAATGAAAACTCCACACCCCCAGAAGGATTCGAACCCAGACACAGTCAAGAGCACCATGCCCCTTGGCGTACCTGGTACCTTAACCACTAGACAAACACGACTGAAGAAAAATCTTGGGATTTAATCGAAACGCCTGACTCCACCGCCTGGCGTGAGCTGTGTGTTGACTCCATCCCCGCTACTCGTATTCCCTGAGGATGACCCGTTCCTGACACCTTGGGTGTGCCTGCGTGGAGGGAATCGTGGGTGGGGGGGGGGGGGGGGTTGTGGTTATGTGGGGGGGGGGATTGTGGTTATGTGGGGGGGGGACTGTGGTTATGTGGGGGGGACTGTGGTTATGTGGGGGGGGGGACTGTGGTTATGTGGGGGGGGGGGGATTCTGCGTATTCAATTGCGAGTGTAATCGCCATGGTGGGGGTGACTATTGTGGACTTGTCTGTCTTGACTGCCATTGTTATTATGGTGGGCGTGGCCACCATGGTGGGCGTGGCCACCATGGTGGGCGTGACTATCAGTGAGGCCGTCCCTTGCATACCCCCATCAACAAAATGATCTTTTCATAACAGTCAACGATATCAAATTGCAAAAAAAAAAATAAAAAAAAATAGTTTTCAAAAACAAAAATTACCATCTGGCCAATCTGGCATACAAACTCTCCCAGCAAAGTAGAATTTATAGCTGGCCAGTCTGCCACCCACCACCGTTTAACTCTATACATACATACATACACACATACATACATACATACATACATACATACATACATACATACATACATACATACATATATACACTATTATTATTATCAGAGGAACAGTCAGAGTTTCTATGAACATCGAAATTTCCACTATAAGCCGATCGGATGGGCGCCATTTTGCAATGTGTCCCAGCCGGCAGCCAATCACGTAGGTGGATGGGTCGAACCAACCACTATCAGCAGTGGGGTTAACAACGCTCCTAAGCTGTTAGTCATTTCACAACAAAGGTTTGTTTAACTCGCTTTCCATACTCGAAAAAAGGTGGATTGGGAGGGTGGGGTAGTGTGTGTGTGTGTGTTTACTAGTTGTGTTTTTACGGGGGTTGAGCTTTGCTCTTTCGGCCCGCCTCTCAACTGTCAATCAACTGTTTACTAACTACTATTTTTTTTTCCACCCCACACACACACACCCCCCAGGAAGCAGCCTGTGACAGCTGACTAACTCCCAGGTACCTATTTACTGCTAGGTAACAGGGGCATTCAGGGTGAGAGAAACTTTGCCCATTTGTTTCTGCCTCGTGCGGGAATCGAACCCGCGCCACAAAATTACGAATCCTGCGCGCTATCCACCAGGCTACGAGGCCCCCGTAGTGTGTGTGTGTGTGTGTGTGTGTGTGTGTGTGTGTGTGTGTGTGTGTATTCACCTACTCACCTATCGAGCATTGACTCTTGGATCCCGCCTTTCGAGCATCGGTTGTTTACAGCAATGACTACGGTCCTATTTCCCTATCATACCTAGTTTTAAAATAATGAATAGTATTTGCTTCCACAACCTGTTCCTTATGTGCATTCTATTTTTCCACTACTCTCACGCTAAATTCAGGAAAAACTTCCTAACATCTCTCTGACTCATCTCAGCTTCCAGCTTCCATCCATGTCCCCTCGTTCTGTTACTATTCCGAGTGAACATTTCGTCTGTCCACTCTGTCAATCCCCCTGAGAATTTTATACGTTCCTATCATGTCCCCCCTCTCCCTTCTTCTTTCTAGTGTCGTAAGGCATAGTTCCTTCAGGCGCTCCTCATACCCCATCCGCGTAACTCTGGGACGAGTCTTGTTGCAAACCTCTGAACCT